GGTTTTAAAAAGTTTTATTTTTGTCTAGGTTTTTTTTTTTTACATATATTTAAGGAAAAAATTCTGCTTTTGTTGGCTACTTCAACATACAACAATAGTTTTGTTTTGGATTGAATTGAATGATTTCATTTCTAACAAATTTTTAATTGGTGTGAATTTGTAAAGAAAATCCATAGCTTTAAGTAGAATTCATTATTGGTATCCTTAAAAGAAATAAAATAATTAGAATTCATTTCTTAATTCATTAATAAGAAAAAATAGAATTTCCGCGACAACATTTTTAATTGTATCTAAAAAAAAAATTCTTTTAGTTTACTTTCCTCATTTTTAAATCTAAAAAAAAAAAAATTCTATTTTACTTTACTTTCCTTATTTTTAAAATCCAAAAAATGTTAACTGTACTTTCCCTTACTTTCCAAGCAACCAAATAGACCTTAAATAACCAAATAGACCTTACTCTACTCTTAACCCTAGGTCGATGGTTCGATACTCGCCATGGACATGGAGCAACCTTAAATCCTTTGGCCAGCTCTCCCACCTATCGAGGGCCCTACGATGGGAATTAGTCACTGTTACCGACGGGTCGGTGGACACCCTGCAATATGAAAAAAATAGACCTTAAATTGCATACTCTCTGATGGATATTTTTCCTGCAACGCTTTCGCATTTCAGAATTCTAGAAGTTATTAATTTGTACTATTAATTTGTACTTTCTTCGGATTTAGCGAATCTAAAGGCGCTACTGCATTGAAAAAAAAAGTTAATCTGATTTTGACCCATTCACAACCTGTGTACGGTACCAACAAATAACAAACACAACCCAAAAAAGCACCAATCACAAAAGTAAACGATTTCATTAAAATAAAGTCAAAAGATATAAAAAAAACAATCAAATTACGAATCCTAAATCATAAAATGATAGCAAACCATCAAAAACTAACAAAATACGAAGACATCAATGTTCTCATTTTTTTTTCTTTCCTACCACCACCATCCAATGAACACATCTAGTGGATTGCCTTTCCTATCACCCCTGCACAAAAACCCTTGAAATTGAGATTCGTGCTGGGGTTGTAACTCTCCCATGGTGAAAAATAAGGGGCCCTGCTGGGTGTGCAAGCCTCCTAAAGAGAGGTACGCTTCATCGGTCCCTCGACCGACCTCTTCATGCTTGGTTTCTTTTTGCTCGCCCTCTCTTGTTTGATGACCTGAATTTTCACCATGAGTTTGTCCTTGAGATAGCCTCGGAAAAATTTCTTTTCGTGGCTATATTCCTCCTCCAATCTCTAGTTTGATCTTTAGCTTCATCATTTTACCGAGTGAAGGTTGTTGTAGTTGAGACGGATCAACATCTATAAGGATTTGAGTATGTCTACGTTTCTCGTATCATCTACACCCAGAGTTAATGCAGAGTGGGATTTATCAACGATACCTGTTCCAAAATCTCAAGCTCAGAGTCTAAGCCATGAATTTCACGTGGCCTATCTCTGTACAGCTTGGCCTCTCTACCAATATTGTGCAATGTTTCAGATTTGAAAAGGAAAACATTAATCAAAAGAGCATTTATGATTATACAAGGAATTTACAAAAAGAAAATTGTAAAGGAATTAAACAAAATAATATAAACATTGTAAATACGTACATAAAGTTTTTCTCGATGCTGAACAGCCTCATATCCAATGCTCGTGTAATGTTTAAGATCACATATCAGTTTCACCGTCCTGCTAAGGAACCATGCCTCGTAATCAATAGTTGTTACACCAGCTTCGTCAGATTCTTCCAGATTGCCTAGAACGTTTTGTGCTCTCCTGGTCCAGTGTGGGTAAATATTTGCATGATTATTGACCCAGTTCTTGTTCGGTAGCCCTGACATATCGTGCTTGTGGTCATCACGGCACGAGTCAATGTTTTTAATCATAGGTTGACGGAGAATACTTTGTATATAACCAAATTGTGTGATAACCCTCACGGACTCGTGGGGTCCTCTAATAGATCAGAAGAATATTCACATCCTAGACATCCAAATATGTTATCCCTATTTACAGATTAAAAAAAAGAAAAAGGAGGCCAACAAGGTAGGAATGATACGGTTGCCACACAAACTGGGAAAATGGAAAACAACCCCAAGTATTATTACAAAAGCACTTTAAAAACTTTCTAGTTAAAAAAAATAAAAATAAAAATCATCATATGAATACTTACGTCTCTAGCATGTAGACTTCTAGATTTATCAAAAGTGAAACCTAATTGAGTGTTAACTCATTCCGTGTGATCTGCGCTTTCCATAGGGTGTTGGTGATCGAGTGAATTGATTGTTGGTTCATTGAGCAAAGTTCTTTACTGTTTAATGGATTTTGTCTTTGTAAAATATTAAAATTTAGTTGAAGTAGTTGTTTAAATCTTGTAACATATGGCTCAGCTTGGTATATTTATAAATAAAGTTGACTTTTTAAAATATTCTTTTTTCGTGAAAAAAAAAAACTTTTAGTAAGCCCCATCACGAGTCTTGCAGGTTTCCTTGCTCGGCCTCTTTGCTAATAACGGAGGTGCCTAGTTTGGGGTGTTACAAGACTGGATATTTTGTGACACTTTCATGTACTCTAGATTACACATTCTAATTACTTCTTATAGATTTTTTTTTATTTATGTTAATATATATTCCTTTCGTCCCATAATTATTGTCCAGTTTAGATTTTTGTTCCTAATTCAATTTGTACTAAAAGTGAAAATCCAAACTGGACAATAATTTTGGGACGGGCGGGCATAAAAACATATTTTCATTATAGATGATTTTCATTTTGATATTTTATTTTTTTGTATAAATAGTTTTTTTAGAAAAAAAGTTAATCGATTTTCTTGAATTTTACGCAAGGAAAATCAAATAAATAGGCACTGACATGAGAAAAAGTAAAGATTTAGTTCAAAAAGATTTAGTTGTGAAGTCAGTCTAAATGGTGCAAATATAAAGACAAAAAATGAAACTCACACAAAACTATTGAAATCTATAACATGAAGTAGAACAAAATAAAGGGGCACACAAAATCCTGTATCATGAGGAAGTTTCAGTATGAAAGAAGCTAATTGGATTTTCGGTACGTCTGAAATTTAGATGTTACGATTTATTTAGGTGTTTTTGAAGAGTATGTTTTGTGGAGCACATTTTGATGAGAATCATGTATCTTCCCATCGAAGTTCTTCAAAGAATGAAATAAGAAAGTATTCTTATTTCTTGGAGGAGTTAGGTTGTTTCCATTTAAGAAGAAGTGTAACTTTGCTATTAGGAGTTAGTCTTCCATGAAGGGAAAAACATCTCAATCATCTAATGAAGATAATGAAGTGGAGTTACTAAATCATCAAAATGGTAAAGAAGACCATTCATTTAATGAGTCAAGTGAACATGACTATGAGAATTTGTTTTAAGAGTGGTGATTTAAGTGAGAGTGAAGGCTCAAGTGAGGTGGTAGAAATAATGCTAAAGAGTTTGTTCCAAGGAAAAAATGCAGAGAAAGCATTAAAGACGCACAATTTTGGGTGTAACAATTTTTACTCAGAGTTCTTGGTCTCTTTAGATCCATATGAGTTGTCCATATGTGATCATATCCGTCTTAAATATTGAAGCTCAATATAGAGCAAATGAGCATCGAGGATGAGAGTAAGCCGAGACGATGGTTTGAGTCTTGCAAAGGTGTTTCCGACTTTATTAGTTTGGTAATTGTATTTATGAGTAAATGAAATATAATTCTATTTACCTAGAGTCAATAAATTGACTTACTATTGGTAAAGAATTAGCCATGTTGTCAAAACCCTAGTAAGATCATTAGGGGTCTTTTAGTCTTTATTTTCTTTTTAAAGAGATATGTTTCTATTTTTCTAGGTTAAGATAGAATTAAGAGTTTGAAACAGAGTTGTGGTTGTTTTTCCTTTGAGTGGAAATAGAGAAGAAGTAGGAAAACTCTCCTAAACTTTCTCCTAAAGTTAAAGATTATTTCTTGCTGTGCAAGAAAGCTTCTCTATAATCAGAGAGGCTTAAAAGCTCATAGGGAGTGTGTTACATATGATGTTTCGGTTTAAAATCGAGTGTTAGACCTTTGTGTCTTTTAATGAAATATCATCAGTTGATGGTTATCTTATCAATGGAGGAACATACTTGCCCCATTAGCATGCATCCGTTGTTACTTTGAGGAGATTGTACGGTTAGTCAATTTCTTTGTCTTTGAGATTGAATGAACTTAATTCTTGAAGCAAAACTGATAAATAGTTTAATTGTTTTAAAACTAATTTTCTTGTTCTCATATTGAATTTGATTCGGTTGGTTTAGCATGTATTTGCTTGAGTTTTTTGAGATTCTTATGATGTGTGTTAATGAGATATTTTTTTTAGTTTATCTATTTTATAGATGGGTTTGTTTGGAAAAATTATATGGAATTATGTATTTGTAAATACTTATTTACTTTGGTCATAGATAGCCTAGAGTTAATTAGCTATGCCTATAGTTTAGTAACGATTTATTCATACATGTATCAGCAATTATACGGGTGATTGTTCAACTTTATTGAATGCTTTGATCTTTTTGTGCACTTAGTTGTTCAATTCGAGTTTTCATTGGATTATAGGTTTGTGGCTTGAATTTGAGTTCATAAAAATAGTGTCCTAATGTGTAATGATCCATTATTTGTTAATTTTCCACACTCTTTTAAGTTATGCATTTAAACGTCTTTAATTATACATTCATGTTGATTGTTCCATCAATGAAACTTGTTTTGTCTACAAACTTGACAATCACATTTTGCAATACACACAAAACTATTGTTAACATGATGCATTAATAGACTTAAAATATGAGTTTCGATAGCTGAAATTTGATAGTGCTAAATTACCGTGTTTAATTAAATCCTAATTAGATCCTACCGTTAAATTGTGTCACATAAAGTGCTACACATGTGAGCCACCAAGTATCATTGCACTCTTGGCTTGTACAACAAGGGATTGGATCGACGGCATCACAAAAGCACTTGGACACCACAACCCCCAGGCCGAATATCATCAGTTGGAACATGTGTGTTTCCATTGCTACTTTTTGCAGCCATTTCTATCCTCTCCCACATCTTTTTCTTCCTCATCTCCCGGTGTTTTGCTTCAGATTCTTCAAGTTCAAGCTGGGAAGCACACTTGGAGTACAGACTTGGATCCGATTCTTGAAGCGTTTCCTTCACATTCTCAGTCAATTTCCTGACAACATTGCTCCAGTGATGCTTGAGATTCTTCTCAACACTTTTGACCACTAACCGATACACCTCTTCTTGCGACGCCATCTTCACAAACCGTTCCCTGTTCCACACGTATAGAGCGCGCTCTGCGACCTGCGGTGGATATTTCATTCTCTCAAACTTGATTTTGAGTGTTTTGGATAACTGTTTTGGTTTTTTGTTTTGTAATTGCACAAATATGTTCACACATCCTGCTAAGTTTCCAGAGCACATCTATACCATTTCAAAATGCAACACTAAATCCAGCACAAACAAACTCGATTCATGTATGAATATGCAAAAGAAAAAAAACTTTAAATGGTTGAGTGACAAAAGGATGGCTTAGAACTACAAATTTCTTTCATCTAATAAATCCGTCAATCTTAGCATCACGCCAAACCCCAAACACTCAAGATGAGGGCACGCACTTTGCGCCATTTGATCAATTAGCTTAATATTAACCAATTGTTTCTTCACTCTTATACATCCCTCAAACATTTGACAATGCATTGTATAGTGAATAAGCCCTAAATGCCGAAAACCACGAATGGCGTATGTGTTTTTAAGTTTTTAACTAGTTTATACCTGTGAGTTCCAACTGTTCATACACCTGGTGATTTGAGTACACAAAGGCGTAGCTATAGGCTTGCACTTTTCAGGATGTAAATTTTCCACCAGATCCTCCAACTCCCCAATGAGCAGAACTTCCTTCTGACAATTTGTTACTGGCCAATATCTTAAAATCCCTTTGACAACAATACCCCCAAGAACTGGCTCCTTTTGGACAAATTGAATGACACAATAAGTCAATTGCCTGTGGTATACTTGCATCCCTTTAGGCTTGTGTAAGGGGATCAGGACTCTCATCAAGAAAAGCTTATGCTCTTCTTTCAGAGGAACCGTGAAGCCATTGATGATGCTTCCCCATATCTCGAGAAGTTCTCCGATTCCACAATGCCTCTGACCATCCTGCTCAAAAATGTAGTGCAAGAAGACATCATTCATTGCTTTACGCATGAATGATCTGTAGAAAGTGAACTTGGCATATATCTGATGGTACACGTTCTTGAGGCTTTCGCGCTCCCTTGGATCCTCTGACCGGAATAGATTAAGTAGACTGATCAGGAAAGAGTGATCTATGTGCACTTGAAGTCTCTTCACATCAGTCTTCAATAGCAGAAGTTGTAGTATGTCAAAAACAATTTGCAAATGCGACCAAGAAGCCGAAGGGATGTCAACAGGTTCTTCATCATCGGGCAAAATAGGGATAAAAGAACAACTAGTAGGATTGATAGGGCGGAATAGATTGGCTGATAACAGGGCAAAAATAGACGATAAATCGTGATGCTTCAATGCCACTTTCAAGGACTTAATAAGTGAAAGAAGCCGAATGAGCTTAACCCTCTTGAGATCTTGTTGTGAAGTTGATTCTTCAGGGTCATTGAATGTATATACCACAGAACAATGTGCGAGCAAAGAGAAAATTTCCTCAGTTTGGGAATCTGAGCAGTCTCTCAATCCACAATTTCTTGGAGAATCAAGATCAAAAAGATGTTGCAAGGTCAACGTCTTCTGCTTCAAGGGAGAAACTTTCTTTGGGCTTTCCCTCTGCATACCCATATTCCTTAATTCTCCCTTCAAGTAACCCTTCTGTCTCTTCTTCAATGACTTCCTTTCAAAATGCACAGACTAAAAAAATAAATGAAAGGAGAACTTTAAATTTAGTGTTTTTTATTTTAAATTACACTCTTGTTTTTCAATCAATCTGGTGCAATGTCATTTGGCCGGAAAGATAGAAAAAAACGATGCTTTGTAGGCAGGACAGTATAGGGATATCCGAAAACAAAGCAAAGACTTTTGCTGCCTTTGTTGAAACTAATATTGATAATAACAAATAGCTTAGGTTGGGCATATTCTTTATTGTATCTTTTATCTGGAAGACACAAATAAATCGCCAGGTGGCCTAATATACTGTACATGGCAGTTGCAACGGTGCTTACAAGAATAGGAATAATGTCCTTACATTAGTCTTGAGAGATGGGTGCAAGGTAACATTCAACAACCAAGACAAAAACCTCTGCAGACCAAAGAAGACCTATTCGAGCCAAAATGCTTGTATACTTTTTGTTTTGGGCCTGAAGCATCATTAAGACACCATATAATAGACAAAATCCAATTGTTTGATCCATTTTGTTTCGGCCTCTGACAATGTGACATAAAGAAAAAATATTTGCATAAAAACATCTAAACAAATAGTGGCGAATAAAAACGACCGAAAATATGTTGTATTTCAATATACAAGTCAAATTTTTAAGGTAAAGCTTTTCCTTCAATGAGTTGCCACCGATGTTCTTTTTTTTTTTCCACTAATGTTCAATAATGGTTCAAATTCTGATAAATGCGTCTCTGATAATTTAGCTAGTAATTAGTCGATCAACACCAATCACTATGCCATCATTGGTATGATATCGTTGCTCAATAAATATATCAAACATGGGTGTCTTTACCATAACACAAAAGAGGAGACCTTCACGAAAAGTTTTAACAGAGAACACGAGATGCCAACTGGTTTTGACCATCAGTGAGTTGTTTGATCTGCATTAAAAATATACTTACGGACAAATAATGCAATGGAAAGTGCCCAAAAGACGATAAGATGTAATACCGCATCATGCATGAGAAGTGTGCAAAAAAAAAAAAAAGTGTATCACAAGAGCCAGTTGGCCATGAGAGGATACACCCAGTATCCCACAAACATTATAAGGCCAAAAACAAAAAGGGTTTATAAATCACATCCTACTGTGCAGGCACATGAAATTTCAACACCACGAATCAAGGGCACTAAATTAAGCTCATTTCATCACAAAGCTTGTGGGCTAATATTCCAAGTCTAGGAGTCACCATAGTTCAATCTCATCATAAGGGCATGTTAAATGGAATCATTTCCACATCTGTACATATCCCGGATGCATATTCCAACACAACACCTAAGCTGCATCCGGATCCATAGTAAACAGACAAAAAAGAATGAAAGAAAATGTGTTTACTGGGAAGTGGAGTCTGAGAGTCGAGAGCTCTGTTTGTGTTTATACCGATTTCCAATCCATTTATAGGTAGAGGCGAACTGGTGGCCGCGGATCTCCTTTCTGGCTGTATCCAGTTTTCTTAACTTGATAACAGTCATAGGGTCGCTTAAGTCAAATATGGCACAAGTATATACAAATAGCTGATATAGAAATAACTCCATCGTGTGCCTGGGGCAATTAAAGCTTCTGCAACTGCTGAATTTTACTCTGAAAGACACACAGGGAAACAGAAGGTAAAAACATCATTAGTGAAAGATTTCTATGTTTTAAAATTCTTGTATTTAGAAACATAACGTATCTGAAAGAATGTCTAAATTTATCCAAGAAGACAATTTGAAGAGTAAATTTATCCAAGAAGACAATTTGAAGAGTACTGGTCATAGCGGCGATCCATTAGAAGACTAGTTGGTCTTTAGATTCAGGAATTTATGCTACAAGATAATTCCTCACAAAATTTTGGTTTTACGAGAAGAGAATCATGTGTAAGAACTTTGAGGTAAGAGGAATTACTTTTTGCATGTTACAAAACCCAACCCACTTGCTAAAGCACCCAGTGTCCATTCTCAAATCTGTATCTACGTTTGAGTTACCATCCATCAATTCATCAGAGAGTGCAACGATTTAGAACTATCAGACAACCAGGTTAAATTGATACATGGTGAATACATAAATCTCAAGGTTCTGTAAGCGTAATTCAAGATCAACTAAGATAATGTATGCAATGCAAGCATAGTATTTGAATTATATACCTGCAAATAATCCTGTACGCACGTATAAGCCAATACATCACACAACAACATGAACATTCTCCACGATCCTATTAGAGGAAACCCCCGATATACCTTGGAGTTCACTGGGTATCTTGGCCAAAGGGTTTCTTATAACGCCATGACCACCTTGGAAGCGAGATCTCCTACTTTCCAATTTCAAAGGTTGAGGATCTCCAGTTTCATTTGCTTTGTTGTAGATTGAATTTGATGCTGTAGGTCCACGAGATGAAATTAACCTTGACGAGGAATGCTTCTGTTGTGTTTTCCTCCAGAGCTTTGAACTCAAGAAGTTGGCACCTGGTAGTCGGCAACACGTGGTTCCAGATGAAGCACCAGTCGACATCCTTCCAGTCGAAACAGCAAGGTCAAAGGAAATTTCATCCAACGCCAGTTCTAAACCATGAACCCGTGTCTCAAGAGACTGCATCCCACTTTGAGAGCTCCCCATGAATTTCTACATGGTAAGCAATTTATTAGCATGAAGTACAATTTTTGTAACCACAAATCAATGCTATTAGATATTTTCAAAGTCAAAAGGAGCTGAATCTCAATTCTACACCAGTGCCATCTGTAACAACTTCTGCGTATTATTACTTAACCTATGAAGACATGTTTGAATACAGTAGAACCAAAATTACAGATTGAGTACCTGGAGCAAATCAAGCAGATTGGACTGCTGATTTTCAATTTGAACAAGTTGCTTTCGAATTAATGAGAGATCCTCAGAGTCCTTTAGGTTCTTGATCTCACTAGTTTCATTACTAACAACCACCGTAGCGTCAGAGATCTCATCCTCACAAGGGACAACACGAAAACCGGACTTGATGAAAAGGCTCCTCTTATTATGTGCTTTCGACAATTTGTTTCTCTCTTCACCTTTCTCAATGCTCTTTTCAAATTTATTTGTAGGATTACCTTCAGAAATCTCATTTCCAAAATCAGTGGGAATAAAAGTTTTAGATTTTGAATCTGAAGGTTTCTTCGGGTCCAGTTTCCTGAACATGGCTGGTCCTGTTTTCTTTTCAGCACCGAGCACAAGATTCCTTTTACTGCCTGATGCCACCCAAGAACCATTGCACAAAGATGACTTGCTACTGAAAAGTTTCTTCTTCAATTGAGGTGCACCAGAGGAAATAGTGCAGGAAGTTTTAGGAGCAAGTGTGTGTCGCACTTCACTTGCAACATCTGTTTCAAAAAGTAGTAGCAAATGATTAATTTCTTCTAAGAGATCAAGATAATCATTCATGAAAATTTTCAAAACATGAAGAAAGAAGTTATAAATTCATTTCGCTATCAAACATCAAAGATGAAGAATTTTATGCACCAAAAAATCAGATTACTAATTTCATGTGACCAGTTGGCAGTATTTAATTGCATTAACTCTATTTTTTCGCCAAAAAACTCTCAATAAACATGGGAAACTTTGATCTCGCACATATCTTACAACAGTTGGGAATGAAACAGATGAAACTTTACTCTAAACTCTCTAGACTCTAGATTGAACTATAGGAATCAAGATCCAATCCATCTCCCCACAAGAAGTAAAATTAAAAATAAAATTAAAAAAAAAAATCTTCTATCAGTTTTAATGATATAAATTCTCCTACTCCCAAGGGATATTAAGAAAATAAACAATGTCTTATAAATAAACCTTTAGTTGAAGACTGTGATTCGAGATTGGAGATGTCAGGCTCATCAGATTCATCAGGAATCTCCCTCCACGCCTCCACCATCTGGTTCATGGTCTCCCTCACTACCTTCACCTGCAGAGACAATATGAAAATTCACACTACTGCAGAATCCAGTCAATACAAATTGCTTGGTGATTATCCCTTTTAGTTCATTATAAATGCAGAATCAAAGAAATAAGCATATGGATCCAGTTTCTAACCTTATCGAATCTTTTGGCCTCAAAAGTTTTCAGACACCCAAATTTAAGTTCCCGCAGAGATTCCTTCTCCACCAGAGCAAGTTTCATCAAACTCTCCGCAGCTCCTTTCCTCGCTGCCCAATCTTCACTGCTCAATAACTCCATCAAACATGTAACCAAATTCCTGGCAGCATTCCCATTCGCTGATCCCACTGCCCCAACTTCAATCACGCTACCAATCAGCCCCAATACCCCTGCTTTCGCTTTAAACGAATCACACTTGACCAATTTCTCAAACCTCCCCAACAATTTCCTCAACATCGCCAAATCCGGCTCCGGCACCGCCTCAATCACCGCTGACAAACATAAAGCCGTGCCGATCTGCGAATTCTGCTCTTGTTCCGTGAAAAGCGCTTCGATGAAGGGCTTTGTCAGAGTAGAGAATGAGGGTTTAGTGACATGAGCCGCAATGGCGGAGGCGGCCGACGCGCAGGCCGCCCTGATAGAGGTGTCGGAGTCCCGGAGACGGCGGAGGACGGCGGAGAGTAGTTTAGAGATGTAAGGGGAGAGAGAATTGCCGTGTTGGACGGCGAGGATGGTAATTAAGTTAAGGCATTGCTTCCGGACGGTGGATTTGTCGGCGGAATCAGTGGCGGTGATGGAAGAGATGTAAGACGGAAGCGTGTCCGGAGTTAAGTCTTTTGCGATGCTTTCGAGCTCTACGGCGGCGGCCTTATGAGTATCCCGGTCGGAGAGTTTGTGAAGGCAGAGTAGCACTTTCTGCTTTAACTCACGCGCCGCCGCCGCTTGGTTCTGATTTTGCTTCGTCACTGACATCGTGATGACAATGGCTGTAAATGTGGATTGGAAATTTCTTTAATTTTCTTCTCCTTTCTCTTTGGTTTCAAAATGAAGTATGTGGGAATGGAGGTGGAGCAACGGGTAATTCCGGGGTCATGGCGGCGGAGGACGGTGGTTGTGGTGGTGGTGGGCGGTGGTGGAGTTGGTGGAAGAGGGAGAGTAATGGAAGTGGTTTTGTGGCTTTTGCTTTTCTCTTTCTTTGCAGCCTTTCTTAAAGGCAAAATGAAGAGGCACAAACTGTAATCCGGAAGTTATATGAAAAGGTCGTTAACGTGACGACATCGTTTGTCTCTGTTACCGCGCAATTCTGGTTTGCGCCATTCTTGCCATAAACGGAGGATCAACGATACGAGATACATCAGTACTACTAATTACATAGTTTTGAAGGTATTTTTTTTAAATGAAATGAAAAATATAGGAATATGTAGAATATGAAAAGAACTTGAGTCCAAAAAAAAATAATAATAATAAATAAATAACAGACATTTAGTTTCGCAAGAAAATAATGAAATATTTTGAACAGAAATCGGAACATTAAATCTTGCCCGATTTCAGTTCAACGTGCATAAGAAAATTAACTTAAAATGTTCCTCCTCCATAACTAAAAATTTAATATTGTTTTTGAACTTACTTTTTTGGGTAAAAACTAATATATTGATTCTATTATTTTCATTTTCACCCTTTTTTCGGGATAAATATTTATTTATCTTTTTTTTTTTGGTAAATGGAGTGACCAAAGTTTAAAACGCGCTCAACTGCTATAAATTTGGATGTCTCGACCAAATTAAATTTAACATCACATGAAAGATCCATCTTTTGTTATAAACCCCTTTAATAACTTTGTCTCCGAAACAATGAAATAGTCAGCTCTATAATTATTTTTTTAAATAGATACAGTTTAAGTAATCAGTCAAAGGTTGTTGGTACGAACCAAAAAGAGCACTAGACCTCAATTATGAGTAAATTTCTTGTAGTACAGCAGTATTCAGTTTTACTTCCACTTTATTTCTTCGATTTTCAGAAAATTATTTCTTTATTTCTCATACTTTGTGAGGTAAGAGAAAACATTATAATAAGTATGATATTTACGTCTATAACTACACAATAAATTTGCATCATGATGATATCTAAGTACGTATATGAAATTATTGATTGTCTCTTATTACGTATAACAAAATACTGAAATGGATATCTTATTATTTTAACTTTTCGTATCTCATTCAACTATATATTTTACTGGTTTATCATCCTAGTTTAAAAAAAAATATTCTTAAATTTTGTATGAATTTTCGAGTTCTCATTTGCTTACTTGTTGATATTTCTTTCTTAATTACATTTGTTCCGGAAAAATGTTCTATTTTATTGTAGTAGACTTAGAGTAAATTACTTTTCTGTGGACGAGTACAATATTGTGCAAGGGACATTTATATTTGGTTTACTCAATATTTGCAAAGTCATGGGTGCTTAATTGTAAATTTCTATATTAGCCTGATATTCAGCATCATGCGTGCCTACAAAGGTCTCCATCGACATATCTATCAATAGTGATTATAACATATTAATAATGCTGTCCTTTCTTTCCATTGAAGTAATAATTAATGGTGTCCTTAGTGTACGTACATGTATATTTTGGTTTGAACCAAATATAAAACACAATTCTTACCTGTTCTATATATAGAAGTGATCTCAGGCTTTAAAAAAAAAAAAAGAAAAATTATTCAAAAAAATAAAACCCATGTCCCGAAAGAATAATTCATATTGAATTTCAGATTTGTACTGAATGTAAACTATCTTTTTGGACAATAGTAATACACCAAAATCTCACCCAAAATATTTTGTTTTCTTTTAAAAAAAAAATCATCCTCGCGAACCCTACACAAATGTTAAGCCCGTTGGTAAAATCTCATCCAAAATAAACTATTAAAAACCAAATATATGGATAATTTGTCAAGCTACTTAAAACTCGCGAGAAAATTAGGTGGTTACACATTGTTGCTACCTGTAAGTATTTTATTTGCAATAACAAAACACAAAAAGGTGAAAATTAAGTATTCCTTTCGATTTCAAAAAATTAGCCATTTTTAATTTTATTGTTTTAATTCAATCAAATGAACAATTTTTTTTTTTTGTTGTTTGAGAAGGAGGAAGTAATTAACTAAAAGCGGCAGTTAATGTAGTTGGTTAAGGTCCCTACAATAATCATGTGCGGATGGTCTAACTTACCATGCGAGCTGAGTATCATTCAAGCTACAACAGCTTTGTAATCATGTTTGCTCAAGTACTCCGGTTTACGTGACTTAATTAAGATTCTTCAAAGATTTTTTGTCACCTAAATAGAACATTTATTCCAATTGTCTTTTCCTTCGCTTTGGGGGAGGGTTTAAAGTAGAAAAATCTAAACTCCATTTTATCATATTACTTGTGCATAAATTTTAAAGATAAACCACGATCCAACAACCTAAATCTATTTATTTATTTATTGATTAGTGAAATACATACACAATAAAATAGCTCACTGGGCGTTCCTATTAGCTAAAAGTGATTAGCAGTAACAAAACAATAAAAGAAAACTAAAATAATAATAATCAGTGGGACGAAATCAACAAATTAAGGCCTAACTCAAGCTATAAGAAATATAAATTCCTTGCGACTAAAGGGTACAACTATATCAAATTGGATCATATTCTGTAAGACGGTGAATTTCTATATTTAACGTAAGGGATATGCGTGCCTGAAGGGCAATCTTTTTCTTCTTCTATCTTTTTCGTTTTATATTTCTTTCTTTTTTTTTTTTTTTTTTGGTCTTGATTGTTTTTCCTGTTCCTTTTACTCGGAAAAAAAATAAAAATAAAAATCCGTGGACTTCACTCAATCAGTTGGACATACGCATAGGAAAATTGTAACTTCAATCCATCATATTTATTGAGACAATACCATTCTCTGTTCCATTTTAGTTAGTAGTTTATTTTATTCTAAAACTGTTTGGTTGAAAGATACAATTAAAAATGAATCAAAGAATAACGATATCTTTATTTTTATAATATCGTACTTAATTAGTTCTACCAACTGCATTCCCCATAGTTGATAAATCTGACTTGTGTATGTGTTTCTTTATCAGTTAAAATTTTTACAATTTATATGATTTTCTAGAAGGATGCATAGCTTTTTCTTTTTTTTTTTTTCTAATTTGTATTTCTATAAAATAGCTATACAAATGTGTTGCAGAATATATGTTTTCTTTATTTTATTTTATTTTTTGGGAAAAGGAAACTGCAATATATTAAAATTATTACAGAACAGGTTTAAGGGAAATACCGAGTCACTGTTTAGGATTATGACTAAAAATATTTCAGTGCAAAGCAAAATCTCTCGCCTCCGACAGTCCGACCTCATAGCAACTTCGACCAAAACCAGTAGATTCTTAGGGCTTTTTTTTTTTTGGGGATTTGGTTGGCGGGGGGGGGGGGGGGGGGGGAGTGGAGGCGCTCTTCGACTTTAACTTGTTCACTTGCAATAACACCTATTTCTCTATTTCATCCAATACACAATGATGAATTGAATGCGACAATTTTCAGTTGAACCAACTCCGAGAGTCTGAATTCATCATTTCATCCACCTAACTACTTCATATCTAACAATTACAACTTCCTATATAATTATTCAGAGATGTATAACTAAAGAGAAACGAATCCGAAAAAAATAAAACTAAAATATTAAAACTTGTTAAGACGCCGTTCAAATAATTAATCACGATTTACGATCACTAGTAGACGAAACACTACATCAATACAACTGAAGATAAAGTGTCGATTAAATGTGAAGTCGGTATTAAATGATGGACATTTATAAATAGTGTAGATATTTGTCCCCAGTTTTCTACCCTTAATTTGGTGACCATATTTCTTCGCAGGTCGCACAAAATTTTTATGAATGAATACTTTAGAAAATTCAGATGTTGACGGCTTTTCCATGACTTTGGAATCTTTGCCTTGCCGAAAGAGTCATTGTATCTTCATTGTCGGTCGACATGGACGTTTGAACAACAGTCCTCTACCAAGTTTTCCGACATGTGTTGTGTTTTAATTGACAACACACACGATAATATTGTACGAAAATAAGAAAAATTATTAAATGGATGAATAAATAAATTAAATTAAAACAGTACATGTTTGATTTAATTAGAACCCACGCAGACTGTCAATTGCGCATTCATTTTTTTTGATAAGTATTCTCTCTGTCTCAAAATTATTGTCCAATTTAGAATTTGACTTTTAGTCTAATTTATACAAAAAATAAAAATTTAAACTGAATAATAATTTCGGGACGGTAAGAGTATAAAACAATTAACAAACAAACGTGTACTTGATCAAAGAGTTCACTCTCTCATTGAGCGAAAATATGTTATCATCTTTTTTGCCCTAACGAAGCAACTATCATTAATTTGTTTGAAAATTGCAAAACGTTCGCAAGATAAGTCAAAAATTACAAATCTAACCTAAAAGTAAATAAACGATATCAATGAATATGACTGAGCATTTCATGCCCTCACACCAAAGGCAAGAGTTTCGTGACATTCATAGATTTGCATTTCTCCATCTGCGAGATTTCTGATTTTTAAAATCTTTATTCGATTTTGGCCTCAAAATATTTTCTCTTCAATTATAGTTTTTTCTCTTTTTATCTTTCCAAAATAATTGGAAAAAGAAAGAGATATGGACCATTATATGGTTTGCCTTGATACTTTTCTTTAAATTTCTATATTTTCCTGGTGGTGTTAAACTCATATCCTTAATATTTTTACAAAGAAAAACAAAGGCATAGCTGGTAATCTTTCTAACGTAAAAAACTAAATTTTACATGGCTAGCCTAACTATTAATATGTAATCAAACTATTTAAAATTACGGTATATATATCTCAATATTAATTAATTATTATCGCTATTCTCGCAATGGACAAATCTCATAGTCATAACAAA